ATATTTTATCTATTGGTAATGAAACGCTATATCAGTAAATAATAATGAAACAAATATTATAGTTACCCAATGTGAATTACCTATGTAGGCAGAATTATTACAGAATCCACTACATATTTATTTCAAATGTCAATTTGGTTACATTGGGTACCTAGCTTCTACGTGAATGTGGCAAATTAGAGGCGGCAGACGGCGGCAGCGACGGCGCCGGCCGGGCTGGCGTCGCGACGTAGGCCGGCGCCGTCGCTGCGCGCACTTCTCGCTGTTATGTCGCCTAGTGCCACTGCCACTATTCTATTCACATATCTCCCAACCAATCGCTTTTTTCATTACGTCAATTTGGCGTACTTCGTATTTTGTAACAATTGCTGTGAAATAATGAGCAGGCGCTATACAATAATAAATCCTAATAGTGTTTCTTAATAAATAATTTTGTGAGTAGGAGCTATGTGTGATTAAAGAATATCGCTAGTCATGTCAGAAGATCATGACTCAGATTGTGCCAAAAGTAATAACAAAAACGACTGTATACAAAAAGACGCAAATGATGAAATTAGTGCTGTCGTGGATGATGAGAAATCACCTAGTGACAATGAAAAAGAAGAAAGTGCAATTAACGATAAACAAGTTGTCAAAAGTGAAACAGATGAAACACAATCTGAAAATAATGTCAATCTTAGCATTAAAGCTAAACTAAGCTGGACTTTCAATGAGAAAGTGTTTAGTGTGAAATGGGATTTGCCGAAAGGATCTACTACTTCTAAGGATTACATCGCACTATGTCTCGCAGGTAAGCAAAAATATCGCGTACTTATACTTTTTACAGGCTCATTTACTCATTTTCACAGGCAAAAACATCGATTATTTTCATAACTTCGACAATATTTTCTAACATTACATGACACGATGCTATGATCAGCCCTCTGGCACTACAAACGGCAATATATAAATTAATATTTTCAACGTAGCGTTATCAGATTTTTTTTGATGAGTGAAAACGGAATTTTTTTATTATTATATAAGTATAAAAGTGGTATTCTTTCCTTGGAATTGGGACATGTAAAAACAGTGGTTTTATTACTTATCCATTTGATTTTTACATACAGTTTTCAACGGCGCTAGAGAGCGTAGCACAACGGTATGTAGAAATAAGTAAACACCTTGAATTTATGTTGCGATGCGGGATGCTACATCATGTGCACTGCCTTAGGCTATAAAACGCGGGCAAAATAGCGGTTCTGACATTAAAATCAATTCTGACACAAAAATTCTACATAAGTATTTACCTACTTACGGATAAAAAGGTGCAAGAAGGCTTCCATAGCGATGGAAACGGGATGCTGTTATGCTATGCGGTGTAATAATAGTCTTGTTATGCACATGTTCCTTAATTTGGGAAGTGTCGATAATGTCGTGAAGTAATATAAATTCATAAAAATGAAAACCTCCAGTAAAGTCTTATAAATTAGACAACGGTAATGAACAGTATAATAATTAATATAACATAGTCATTTCAAATAATTGTACCGTTTTTGCACGAGTTTTTCTATCTCAGTAGCGCACAACTGTAGCCGCAACAGTCCAGCCGCATAACTGTATAGTTGAGCACCGCTGTTGAGCTACTTCTTGCATTAAATTGATATAGGGAAGTGTATTCTTAGTTAGAAACCTGCCGTATATCCTATCTGCCCGTTCTAACTAGTCGAATGGGCTAATTTATTAACATTATATTACAACTACCTAGGTAGATAATAGAGAAAACGAGACGAAATCAACGAGCCACACAATAAAATAGATAGGAATAAAGGCAGGACCGGTCCGTCCTTATAGGCAAACTAGGAAACTGGTTAGGGCGTTTGTGTACGTATATATTTTTTACCTTAAAAATTGTTTTTTGTGCGGGGTTCAAAGTACAAAATTTTTAGACCAGCAGTATCGGTAATACGTTACATTTGGTGTTTGGCGCGTTGGATCTCGTTAGTCTGTAAATCAGCATGTTGTAAATTAATAAATAATAATAAATGTCTTGTTTAGTAACTATATTAGCCTTTTATTTTTTTTATGGACGTCGTTCCAGTGTTTTGCATAGGACGCCAAGGTTCATTGAGCCGGCGCTAGATAAGGATGGAGTAATTAAAAATTACGGCGATACGTTGAGTTAAAATGTCACATGACTTCACGTTATGGTACATTTTCTACAAAACTGTGACGTAATGAGCCCCCACTCCGCAACTTTAATGCCTATGATATAAGCCATCTCTCATTAAATTGAAACAATTAAAACAAATGTATCAGATACTTTTCTAACTGATTGAGGGACTATTATAATAATTTCTTTCTATTATAATAATAAATTTATTTTTTTTACCCAGTTATCATTTCTATACTTTGATCACTCTTGAATCACAATACAAGGTACATTTTAGCCTCATCCTTCCACTTTCGCACCGTATATCAGTTTTGTTATTCTTTCGTCTGACAATCATTCTACATGTCTGAACCCAAGAAGCATATCCCGGTTGACTAAGTTATTCTCTGTTGTTTTTTTACATAAATAAATTATATAAAAAAACAACAGAGAATAACTTCGTACCTACTTAGACACCGAAAATGTCTACATTTCGGTGACGTAGACATTTTCGGTGTCTAAGTAGGTACTAAGTTATTCTCTGTTGTTACACCGAAAATGCAGTTCTCGCCTACGCATCGCACTTTTAATTAAGCTCACGCCCAACCAGTTCCCACGCGCCCAGTACTGAATTTCACTGCACATTGATATCACTTGCTTGCTCAATCGATTCAATTCAAACTAAAGTTAATTATTTTCGGGGGGTTCCTGTGTACACGGTAGTTGGATGACATTACTCGTAGTTTCTAAGGACGATATTACTAAAAGGAGAAGTTTTTGATTGCTGGTTATCGTTTTTGAAACATTCTTTCTTCGTTTTTAGGGAGAAGTTCATTTTAATATTGTTTCAGGTACGCACTGACAAGTGTTTCATATATATATTTTTAAATTTAGTCTCGGATTATTAACCATCCCGTTTTGAGTGCTAAAAGTAGAAAAATTGATAATAAGATCCCTAGCCAATTAAATATAATTGAAATACGTAATTAGAAAAACCACGAATGAAATTCATTGTACCTACCTGTTTCGGCTTTCGAAGAAACTTTCTTAAAATCTACCGATTCTGTCTCCTCAAAAACAAATCGTGTAAATTCGAAACCCGACTTACAACTATGTAAAAACGTTTTCTAGTATTTGTGAATTGAGACATATGTACTGTTCTGCCCCTGATAGGTGGATATTATTCGAAATTTTACGAAACGTGGAGGCCCCCCTTGTTAAATCCTTGCTCTCAATACACGGTAGCTGCTAAAAATGGCAAAAACCTGGAAAGCAAATGTATCTTAAGTCTTAGCTCTGATATACTTATAGGTATTACATTTTTCTTCGGCAGTATTTTCCGTTTTTGTAAATAGTTAATTTATTTATTTATAGCATATAATGATGTAAGGCACGTTGCGGGTTTGCAAGCGTGTTACGTAATGCACTCGCTGGTGCAATGCAGTGTTTCGCCAGCACCAGTTTAAGATACTGTTTTTTGCAATTATGATCATTGTTTATTATTACTGTAAATAAACTACGGTCTTACAATCAACTTTTTTATACTGGCTCCCCCGTTTCATTCATTTTTCTTTAAGTTCTTACTATTTTTATCCTTTGTTCCTCTTTGAAATTTTTGTTATCGCCCTTGTGAAATTTCTTTTTAATTTAACTAGCCAGCGGCATCGCGCGCGTGGTATAAGTCGCTTAGTCATATAAACTTCACCCCCTATTTCACCATCTTAGGGGTTGAATTTTGAAATTCTTTCCATAGTGCTCACTTACATCATGAAGGGAACGCCTGTAACGAATTTTCAAATCTCTAAATACACTAGTTTCGGCTGTGTGTTAATATATAAGTCAACCAGCTTTGCCTTGTTATATAGGAGATAGACTACAGTTTTTACATATGCTATTACTTGATTATTTTTCTACTTGCTGCATATAGGTAATATCACTGGTCATTGCTTTTAATATCATTTTACATATACTAAAAATGAACTGAGTAAGTTAATCAATATAATTGTTGGATTTTATATGGAACTACTGATTTCTGTATTTTTTGTATATCCGAGCAACTTTTCTAATTTTACTAACTTAAATAGTGTTTGACCCTTATTTTCTAAAACTATTCTCCAAACGCCAAACCGGTTTTCTGGTTCTTTACAAGCATTCAAAGTCCGAGTCGGATTAGCGCTTCAACTACAACCCTTTCTGACACAGTTTTTGTTACTAGATCACAAAATAATAATTACATCTGTCGCCATTAATTTGTGACGAAGACATTGAACTACTAATATTAGACTTCAGGTAGATAGTACAATGGCAAATGCAACTAGTTGAGACTAATGAGAAGCGTAAAATGAGGCCCTGATTACATTATCTAGTGAACTTAAGAAATTAAATTGTTATTAACTAACCGCAATGATAGGTCAAGAAACCATCTTATTACGTTTGTTGCGATATCAGTTTTGGTATTTCAATTAAAGTAGCATTAAAGTTGGGATTTGGCGAAGATGTTTCAGTGTTTCACGGTATATGTAAATCGTATGGATAGGTTTTGATGCGTGCATTATTGGTGGAATACCGAGGGCTAAACAGAATATGTTTGTCCATAAACGATATTTCAGATAAATAAACGGTCTCATACGTTTTTGAAATCAAATCCATAAATATTATCTGCACACCATGATCCTTTCGAAAATAGATGAAATTGCGTTTTCGGAAAAACAGCGTAGGTCTGCAGGTTACTGTTCATCAGCTCGGACGGCCAGCCGGTGTATGAATGAGCCGGGCCGAGCCCATCAGCTCCCCGCTCCTTGGTCGCCCCGCCACCACTCGATTTGTGAATGAAGCCCCACGGCGCGTGCCGTGCCGCCTTCGTCGCTCACGCTCAGTCGCGCCGTTGATGAACGCGCCACTACGCGAGCGCACACGCTCTGTTTTAAATTTTTTGACGTTTCCAAATTCGTAATCGTGCTTGTAAAATTGTGCGAAGCCGCTTGACGATTGACATTTTTTGTGCCTACTTACAATTTAGTACGGATTACGCGATTACCGCAGCCTACGTGCGAGCTGTTGAAGATTTTACTAGAGGGAACCCTGTCATAGGGAAAGCCGACGTTGGCAGACACGGCGTATCTTATAAGGTCAGTTAACCATTTTTTTTAGTTTCCAATTCCGAAGGCTATCATTTCTAACTAAGGTGACAAGTAGGAGGATAAAAGTGAACGACAAATATGACAGTGGGTTGGTTTGTAGGCTGGTGCCCACGTATGTAAAACCGGTAGGTGTAGTACGCAACCAGGACATCTTCAATATGTCGCACATTTTCCAAATGTCATAAGAAACTAAACAGACAACGTTAGTGTTGACTAACAATTTTTTGTGTTCTTGAAATTGGCCTCCCTGTTGATTAGAAATACGCGATGATCCTTGAACCATTTATATTTATAAATAATGAACAAATTATTCTTGACAGTTACTTTTTATACGGTAACAACTGATAACCGTATAAATTCTACAAAATGTCAAAGTTTATGGCGTATTTTTTGGATCTTTTATATAAGCCGAATAAAGACGCATCCAGAGTGTTTTATGTGGTATTACTAATAGCTTCCACCAGAACTTTACTGCTCTCCGATCTATTGATAGTAAATAATTTGTCTTCATTTTTTAAAAATCAGAAATGGCATGGTATCTCTGCAAATCTGAACCACTCTGAACTGAGCAGATGTTTTTTTTTTATATTGCTGAATGGATATAAAAAGTGACCGATTTTAGGCGCCGCTGTATCAACACAATAGGCCATTTATGAGGCGCTAAGCGGACCACTACCTGGTATTGATACACAAATCTTGACATTTATGTATTGACAGACAATCGTCCGTTACAATTAATCTTCTCGTCCTTAGTTGTTTTCTTTAAAATTTTTAGTAGTCTTCACATAAGACAATAGTTTCTAGTACCGGCAGTGTAAATTGATTTGACTTGACCAATTCCCTGTGTTCATACCATTAAGGCTGAGGCTAAAGATAAACTTCCCTGTCTGTCCCTACACCTTACATGGCGCCCGCTAACGAAATACATAGATAGGGACAGCGGATGACGATTTGCACTTAAAAAGCTCACCTTTATTTAGGTTCTTTAAAAATTTAGTAATTAAAAAATGCATACAGCCGTCGGCTACAAATTACTCACATATTTATCAGTCTTCTAAGTTAATGAAACAAGTATAATTACTAGAAGAAATAAATTATTTAAGTATAGATACTTTACATTTGCCTATGACATAACCTTTAGAAATATGATGTACCTAGAACGATATTTCAAGTTTGGTGTAAATACCTCTTATCTGGGTAGAGATTTAATGGCACTTCAATCTCTATTTGAATCAGTTCTTGCTAACTTAGCAGTATCTTAGCATTTCAAAAATGAAGATACCATTGATTTATTGACTTCATTGTAATAACAAAGTTAGGCACAGGTAAATAATACAGTAGTAAATGCAATTAACTGAAATACTTCCGATGCCATTATGTTACCATTTACATAATTTAAGGCTTGGGCCTCTATTCTGTTAAATTTGACGTAATAATGGCACCTCGATGGCATCACGATTTACTGCATTTTGTCGCTTTATTATCTAGTTGAAGTCCGATATTATTAGTGCCATAGTGTCTTGATAAATCAAAATATGCCTGCCTGTTTTTAAGATTCCGTGTCCCAAGAGTAAAACGGGAACCTTATTACAGGCTTCGCTGTCTGTCTGTCACCAGGCCGTATCTCATGAACCATGACAGTTAAGACAGTTGAAATTTTCACAGATGATGTATTTCTGTTGCCGCTACAACAACAAATACTAAAAATCAGAATAAAATAAATATTTAAGGGGGCTCCCGTACAACAAACGTGAATTAGAACACTTCGTGCGCGAGTCCGACTCGCACTTGTTTCTGATCTGGTAACGAGAACAAGAGAAATGTGTCAAAAAGTAATGAATTATATTTATTCGACATAATGGTTTATACCACTCCCCCATATTATTAACTAGTGGCCGCCAGCGACTTCGTCCGCGTTTTCCATTATTTCTTCGCTCCTAATAGTTGCAGCGTGATGTTATATAGCAAAGCCTTCCTCGATAAATGATCTATTCAACACAAAAAGAATTTTTCAATTCGAACCAGTAGTTCCTGGGATTAGCGCGTTCAAACAAACAATCTTAAGTCTTTCTTAATAATATTAGTATAGATTACTATTAAAATTATATTTTAACAATTGTTATAAAACCTGTCGCCTGACATAAAAGTTTTGTGTTAAAAATATTTTCAAAATTTATATTATTTTATAAATAACTAGCTTTTCGTCAGCAGCTTTACCCGCGTGGTCTTATATTATACATAAAACCCTTCCTTTTGAATCACCCCATCTCTTTAAAAAACCGAATCAAAATCCGTTGCGTAGTTTTAAAGATTTAAGCATCCATAGGTATATAGGGACAGAGAAAGCGACTTTGTTTTATACTATGTAGTGATGAGTTTCGTTTAAATAATTAATTCTTAGATTAATCGACGGATACTATATGGCGATCAAGGTTGACATTAGAACAAGTTTGAAATGATTGTAAAGAAACAATTATACGACATGAAATAGTGATAGCGTAATATTAATTCGTCGAGAGTGTCACGGTATGTTCATTTTCTAATGACATTAGAGTTGATAATTGCTCGTGTATGAATAAGTAATTCATCACCAGAGCTCGGACGGCGGCGGACGGAAATTAAATCGACACGCCCTCGATTCTACACTACGTTGGTCGCTTCCACTTCCAATACAGATTGTACAGTCATAAGCACGTTATGTTATCCGAATGCGTCACAATTAGTTGTAAAACTTTAGTGTAATTAAATTCAAAATCGATTGCAGAGATTTGACATTCTCTTGTATTTTATGGTGTGCTGCCAATTGTCATTTTAATACAATTACTTCGTCTTCAGTAATAAACAAATAACACTGTAATTTTTGTTTTTCATCACAAAAAATAAATATTATATTGACGCTGAAAAGCAAACACGTAATAACCTGCAAAACCAAAATAGATATTTAAAGGGGAAAATATTTATATTTTTCAAAAAAAAATCTTATTTCCGTATCTATTGATTAAGGAACACCTTATTTGTTACTATGGACGTTTATAGGAATTTTTTATCTAAAAAAAAAAGTTTTTCTGCTCTCGGGAACAATTTTAATTTTGCGGGTTACTACGTGTTTACTTTCCAACGTCGATATCATGATAGCCACGAACAAACGAAAGGTTGAGATTCAAATTAAGTAGCCTTTAAATAAACTAATTTAAACATTGAATGCAACTAAATACTTAGGGTTGCCAACGACATATTTCAAATACTAGGATTTGAAATTAGAACGGACAGGACAATTCAGCTTAAAAAAAAGACGCAGAAATACAATAGTTAAATTTAAAAGTAGTGTTAATAATGTACCATTTTAATAAAAGTAATTGAATGACGTTGAATGACGCCAATTGAGTTGAAACAAGGTAAATAAGATGACAAGAACTTCAGTTCATAGGTACCTTTTTCCCTCCAAAAAAACGCAGTGTAAACAGTCATGAGTCGTCGTAACGGAATTGCAAAAGCGGCGCGTGAATTAAAAAAAAACCCAAGCCGTTGCTTAAAATCTATCAAAGACCCCTAGGTCTTCACCATATACCTATAATAAAAACTGATTGTCTCTTCCCTGTGTCTGATGTTAGACTTTAACTGCTTCTTTTATCCAAGCACCGGATTTCGATACGGTTTTCACTCTTGTATAGGGAATTTCTGGATAGTTATCCGGAGAAGTTAGAAGCTGATCCGGAGTTAGTTAATTAAATTATCGGTCTTGTTATGTTGTATTTCGTTGTGTTTCATATGGAAGATTGCTAGTATCTGCTTGCTTTTCCGGGAATACTATTACAGTTCCGGTATTATATACTGAACAACGAATTTACTATAACTTGATACCAAATGATACAAGATTTTTGATTACCCCTATTTTTTTGCTTGCTAACATTTCGTTGAAATTTACCAAGTTTTATTGTCATGGCCATTGAATTGTTCTCACGTTATTTCGTCGGCAACTGCATGAACTGCCATTAGTCGACTGCTGTATTGCGACAAGTGAAAGAAATAGTGAGGCTATTTCTCACGAGTCGAGTTTACCAAGAAACGAGACAAGCGAGATCCCGCTGTTGCCTTGGCTAATTGAACTCCATTGAAAACACCAGAAAAACAATGAGTGGCCAGTAAAATATTTTTATTATTTTAACCAACACTCCAACAAGTTAAAATTTAGCTTGGAAAATTAATAAACAATGTCATCCAGGTAAATTAAGATAAAAACTATGTCAATATTACACGATAATAAAAACAATATGTCAAAAAAACATCTACTTCAAATAAACGATTACTAAGTTTTAATGAAAAATGCTAAAAAAAAACAATTTTGTCCCTGGTAATCTGAGATGGGACACGAACCCACGACCTTTCGCATTTCGGGCGACTGCTCTAACCACTGAGCTATTCAGGACCTTACAGGACTGACGAATTCTTCAAGCACTTTTTACATTTATTTTAAACTTTCGATAGAGATAAAAATTTGTATTTGATCAATTTTGAATTCACAATGCTTCACTGGAAAATATTCTGACTGCAAAATGCTTAAACCAAGTTACCTACTAAAGCTAAGAAACGTAAATGATGTAACACCATCGCAAATAAATACGACTTTTCATTATGAGCAAGGAAGTCTCCATTTCTCGCGAATTGTATACCGATTTTCAAAATTCTTTATATCAAGTAAATATTCAGATTTTCGCATGTATTTGATCCAATAAAAAGTAATCACCAAAATCTTATTACCCTGTAAACAGATGTGTGAACTTATGTGGCGACTTGGAAATCTCCTTTTTTCGTTGTAATTCCCAATAAGTTAGAGTAAACCGCATTTTTATATGTTAAAATCACCCGTTTATCTCAAATCATAAAGACATTAACTTCACTGTTCGCACTCAGTGGGCGAAGCATTGTAGTGGAGTGAAAAACTTGGAGAGGAAACGATAAATTATGTTCGAAGTTTATACGATCGGCTG